AGATAGATAGATAGATAGATAGATAGATAGATAGATAGATAGATAGATAGATAGATAGATAGATAGATAGATAGATAGATAGATGATAGATAATACTAAATTCCAAATACAAAAATAATATAGTGAGGTGTGGAATTATATCAGAATCTAATATGTGTACTTGCAACCATATGGAAAATGAAGATTAGTATTAATACTTTATAGAATATTAGCTTTTTATATGGGAAAATTGGGATATTCTTATAGCACACATTTGAATGTATTGCATATTAACATCACACTGATTTTCATTTCAGTATTTTCAGTTCAGCTGGGATTTATGATGTTAACTTTCTTCTTTTCTACCAGGTAAGTAATGACAGTAATGTTTTTTTTCTATATGACAGAATACCTGGGTATAGGATAATTTTGTTTTTTCTTTGTGATTCTAAGTGCTTTGGCATAATCTGTCCAAAATAGAGAAGACAATGTGTCAAAGCCAGGTTGTTCATTTATTTGAAATCTATAACCAGATAAAATCAAATATGTATTGCCCTACAGTACAAAATAAAATAATAGGAGTAAAAACAACTATAAAACAAAAAATAGTTTTCTACTGTTGAAAAAAAAGGGAGATCTTAATGTTATTCCAAAACATAACAGTTTCTATAGTTACTTATCAGTAATTTTGTGTATTCTCTATAGATTGCCTAAATAGCTATTTTCCAGTCAGATATTTCTTTGCCTAATGTATAGCTTCTGCTATTCTATATAGTTATATTCCAACAACTATTACCCTAATTCATATTATCATTTTAAAACTACCCATGAATTTAAAAAAATCAATAAGCTATATATGTTTAATCATAGAGGAAATATCTCATGTTCCTGTGTTATGTTAATGTTGTATTAAACAACCATATTACCAATAGTCCTGTATTTCAATTCTAAGTATCTGGGCTCAAGTGGTGAATTTTCAAGATTGATAGCCACTAGGAGACAGTCATGGTAAGCCCCTTAACTCAAAAATGTCCAACAGTTGCTTTCTTTCCCATCCTAATAAAAATTATTCCAATCGTTTTAACAATTATAAAAATAAATTGACTTTATGCTGTGCTTCCTGAAAAACAGCTACATTTCTAGCTTGCCATGAAATTGACCAGCGACTATCTCTACTGATTTGGACAATAGGAGAACAAGCAAGTTTCTCAAGAACACTTTCATTGCTGTGTCTTTACCATAAGTAGTATACAACAACGAACATCATACATCCGAGAAGGAAACCAATAGTTCAAAGAGGGTTAAGTAAGAGCCAACATAACTACTACTCCAAAATGAGCAAGTGCCTCAGCAGAAAAAAAAGCAAAGAGATGCTGTGAAGAAGCTGTTGAAAGGCATTCAATTTGTTCCATTGCCAGTCTCAGAAGGCATAACAGTAATCTTAGGGGAAGGCTCTGAATTTCCATCAAATGTGTGTTTCTGGTCCTGAACTCCCTGGATTTAAAATCAATGTCAAAAGTAATAAATCAACAGAACATCTATTTTTGTGAAGAAAGTTCTGTAAAATCGTATTCAGAAAATATTGAAATAATGCCACATGTATGTATTTGGGCAGTGGTTTGATCTCCAAGCTTGTTTCAATTTAGTTTCTGAACGTTTCATTACCAGACTAGGTGACACCATTACTCGCCACACACATGAATTTATTGAAGCCTGGTATTCTACCAAAGAAGCAATCTGGATCCAGCATATGAATATGTAAGAAACCAGACTATTCGAATGACCAATCAATTAGAGAACCAATCAGCTGCTAAGAATTTAAATATAGCTCTAAATGAAGAACATTTATAAGCTGAGAATAGGACAAGAAGATCCTGCTGATGATGTTACTTAATTTGGTAACGAAACGTTTAGAAACTAAATTGAAACAAGCTTGGAGAGCAAATCACTGCCAAAATCTAAAACCCAGGTATTTTCTATTATTTCAAAGGTAGGAGGAAATCCTTGAAGACTGCCCAAAACCTCATATTTGTACAAGTGCATTTGCATTAGAGATACATATTTAAAACATGGGATATTGTATTCAGTAGAAATCATGTTTTGTTTTGACCATAAAGTCTTACAATTATCCAAAGTATTGAAAAGAATCCTTTTGCAGAAGGTTCTCCTTTTTTTAATGAGAAGAAATGTGAAGAAAAAGTTGATGAATGTGAAAGACTATCCCAATAAGTATTATGACCTGTTTTTATAGAAGATCAGTGCGGTTACAACCAATGCAAACAAATCAAACATTGCAAATATTGAAGCATAACAATGCTATCAAAAAATTGAAAATGAATTTCTATTTTGTAGCAAGAATTAGACTTTTCAATCACCTCGTGCTCAGTTTGATCCTTTTCCTGAGGAGCACCTGAGAGGAAAGCAAAAAATAAAGGAAAGGACTATATTTCATACATTTGCTTATTAATGTGTGATAAATAAAGGCAACAGTGAATTAAGTTCCCATGCAAATCATTCAAGTGATTGATGTATTTGTTTTCTATGGTTTCTTGCAAAGCTTTTTTAAAAACATTTTTGGTAACGCCTCAAAATAAAAGAAGCTATTTTTGTGCAGTTTTGCAAATTGGCAAGCACACTGAAACTGCCATCGGTGATTTTCAACACCGGTCTCCTTCTGAATAAACTGCAGCTGCAGAGTATGAGTGTTTACAGAGTCTGCTGAGCATAAAGCTGTAATGAAGGATCAAATGTGGTGATCAGGGTGGAAAGGGTTATGAGAGCTGGCAGATTCCAGAGGGCAGCAAAGAGAAACCTACAGAATTAGCACCTGTTGGATGGCCTTATTAGACCTGTGCAAACAAATTCTTATCTCTGCCAGGTTTTGAGGTGGCTCATTGCCCAACTCATTGCCCGGCAGAAAGAGAATTGGTTCCTCAGGTTGGAAAGCCTCATTACGGAAGAAGAAAGGGAGTCATAGACTAACACAGGTATGGAGCTGCTTATATGTCCATAGCTGAGCTAGAAGGCTTATTGAAACTATTGCTAAATGAGCAGAATAAGTTCCAAACTGCTATTCCAGAAGAATTTCCTTTTTTGCAAGCATTTATTTTGAATACTAGCTGATAACCCAGCATTGCCCAGGTATTTATTTATCCTAATCCTGTATTAGACAGGAAAAGCCCTGCTTTTGGTGACAATTAAATGAGTTTAGGTTTAGGTTTAGGTTTATTAAAATTTGTATGCCGCCCACTCCCATCGGGACTCTGGGCGGCTCACAGCAAGACAGAAACAGTTTAAATTTAAAA